AAGCAGTGGTATCAACGCAGAGTACTACTGCAAGGCTGACGGACTTTTAAGCCCTCGCATTGTTTTCAGCCCTAACGATGCTATTGCCTATTATTCCAAGATTTATCCCGATTGTGATTTGAGCGTTCTTTTGGAGCGTAATCAGATTGAGTTGCCTTGCGGTAAATGTGCCGCTTGTCAAATTCGCAAGCGAAAGGATATGAGCGTTCGGTTGTGTCACGAGCGTATGATGTGTGCACAAGCCGTTTTTGTCACGCTCACCTATAATGATGATAGCGTTCCTGTCACTGACGATAAGCCATTTTTTGTTGATAGTAATCGTCATAAGGATGATTCCAAGCGTTTTTCTCGTGGTATTTCCAATGGTCTTCATCCAACTCTTCTCTCTTCCGATTTACAGAAGTTCATTAAGCGTCTTCGTTGGCATTTAGGTTATCGTGGCACGAAGTCCGCCAAGGGTCGTTTTGATTATTGCCCCAATATCCGCTATTTTGCCGTTGGTGAGTACGGCACTCATACTCATAGACCCCATTACCACCTTATCATTTATGGTTGGTATCCTTCTGATTGTGTTCTTCATGGCAAAAGCCCCAAGGGCAGTCTTATTTTTAGGAGTAAACAGATTGAGCGGTGTTGGTCTTACGGCTATTCTTCGGTTTCTTCTGTTTCGCCCGCCGTTGCCAAATACTGCGCTCGTTATGTGACCAAGAAGTTTGCTCGTTTGGAGCAAAAGATTTCTTGTCACCTTGCGTTAGTTCCCGAATTTACACTGCAATCTGTTCGCCATGGCGGTATTGGTGCTACTTGGTTCCATCGTTTCGGCGTGGATGCCTGTAAGGTTGGTTTGACTTCCATCGTTGTTAATGGTCGTGTCAGCAAATGTTCTTTGCCGCAGTATTATTTGCGGTTGTTGCGTAAACATTATCCACAAGTTTACATTGATTTGCGCAATAGCCGTATTGATTTCGTCAAGCGTAATGTTGGTAATTTGGTCACTTTTGACGACCTCAAACGCTCGGTAGAGGTTGCCATGCTCACCGATAGGTATCAGTCCTATGGTGAGATTTTTTAGTCCGAGCAAAACACAAAAAGGAGTAGCCATGCCGACTAGGTATGTACCGAACCAATCCCGAAGTAAGCGGACATTCACCCGAACCGCTGAAAAGGTAAATTCCTTAAACAGTCCACATTTTATGAGCCGTGGGGGGTTTCGCCTGTGAGCAAGTTCTTTGATGATATTGCGAAAGCAACCGCCAAGCGAGAGCGTGAGAAATCTCTCACTTTCTCTATGTTTTCCTTTGCCACTGAAACAGATAACGGCAAGGTTTTTGGCGTTCCTTGCGCTTTTATTGACGATAATTCGGCACTTCTTGCGCTTGGAAATCTTATTACCGATGGTACATTTCCTGTCGGCACTTCCGTGTATCGCATTGGCTCATATTGTTTTGCCAGTGGTAAGTTTTATCCGATTAAACCCTATGAGGTGACTAAAAATGAATGATTTGTTCCGTACCCGATTTAATCGCAAGGTCGTTATCAGCCCTAGCGGTGGTAATTCGTTGACCGACCAACAGTTTGCCAAAACTAGCGAGGTCAACTACATTTTGCGCAATTATAACGCCCTAACCCCAAATCCCCGTACCCCGATTTTCGGCGATGTTAGTGATTTTGGTGATTTTGAGCGTAATTTTGCGAAAATTCAGAAAGCGCAAGCCGATTTTGAGAGTTTAGGCGAAGCGGTCGTTAGCCGTTTTGGTCGTAATCCTCTTGAATTTTACCGCTTCGTTCACAACCCCGCAAATAGGGAAGAGTGTATTCGTCTCGGTTTGTATAGAAAGCCTGTGTCACCCACTCCTGTGGGCGAATCCGTGGCTATGCCCGATTCGGTATCGCCCTTAAACTTGACTAAATAAGGCGATACTGACAGGGTTTTAAGGAGTTAAAAAAATGAAGAAAAGTATCATTCAGATTGTAGTTTATGTCATTTATGGCTTTGTCTGTTATTTTCTCGGCGGTTGCTTGGCAATCGGCGACAATTCCCGCAGTGCTTTCTTGCTTGATAGCACTGGTAAGTCTAATTCTGTAAGCGAAAGGTAATCAAAAATGAATAGCGTAATGAATCACGATTTCGGGCGTGTTCCGTTGACGGATGCACCCCGTAGCACCTTTGATAGGTCTCACGGCTACAAAACTTGCTTCAATTCGGGTAAGTTGATTCCGATTGAGGTACAGGAAGTTTTGCCAGGAGACGAAGTGAAAATGGATGCCAACATTTTCGCCCGATTGTCGCAAACTGTCACCCCAGTGATGGACAATGTGTTTTTGGACATTCATTGGTTCTATGTTCCTTCTCGTCTCCTCTGGACTAATTTTGTTAGGATGATGGGTGAGCGCCCGAATCCGAAAGACAGTATTGATTATACTGTGCCTGTTATCAATAGTGGTGAGTTTGGATTTGACATTGGCTCGTTGGCTGATTATTTCGGTATTCCGACGGGCGTTGCAAATCTTGATGTCAATGTTTTGCCGTTTCGCGCATATGCCAAGATTTGGGATGATTGGTATCGTGACACGAATTTGCAGGACAGCATCATCAATGTGGAACAGGATTTGGGCGATTCCAATCCTAACTCCATTGATTGGAATAAATTGCTCCCTCGTGGCAAGAAGAAAGACTATTTTACCTCTTGCTTACCTTCTCCTCAACGGGGAGATGCCGTCACTGTGCCGCTCGGTTCTACCGCTCCTGTTTACGGCATTAATGGTGTTCCGTTGCAGTTGGTTAGTTATGACACTACTGATCCTTCTTATTCCGATAAGGTTTTTCCTGTCAAAGCCACCGGTGGCGGCGAATCGTCCACGCTTTCCGCCACCAACAATCCCGAATATGGCGGCACTGGCGACGCCTTGAATGGTCAATATTTGCGCATTGCGTCAAAGGGTGAGTTGGTTTCTTATCCCGCCCAGTTGGAAGCCGATTTGTCCGCGGCGGCTAATGTCAGCGTGAATTCGTTGCGTACTGCGTTCCAGTTGCAACGGCTTCTTGAGACTGACGCTCGTGCGGGCAATAGGTTCGGTGACATTATCCTTGCCCATTTTAGGACTGTTAATCCCGATTCTAGGTTGCAACGCAGTGAGTACCTTGGTGGCGAATCCAAAATTATCGGTATGTCGGTAGTTAGTCAGACCTCGGCAACTGGTGATTCAACTACTCCCCAAGGCAATATGGTTGCCAATGGCACTGTTTTTCAACGCAGTGGTTTCCATAAGTCGTTCACCGAACACGGCTTCGTCATTGCTCTTGCGAGTGTTAGGTGCGACATTACCTATCAGCAAGGTCTTAATAGGATGTGGTCACGCCGTGGTCGGTATGACTATTACTGGCCGTCTTTGGCTCATTTAGGTGAACAGCCTGTTCTTAACAAGGAGATTTATGCACAGGGTAAGAGCGTGACGGATGTCAATGATGGCAGTGTTGTTGACGATAAGGTTTTTGGTTATCAAGAGCGATACGCCGAATATCGGTACAATCCGTCTGTCATCACTGGCAAGATGCGTTCGTCAGCGGCTGATAGTTTGGATGTTTGGCATTTGTCGCAGTATTTCAGCGAACTTCCTACTTTGTCCGCTGAATTTATTGAGGATAATCCGCCGTTGGCTCGGATTATGGCAGTACCTTCTGAACCCGAAATCATTTTGGATGCCTATTTGGCTCAAAAATGGACTAGGGCAATGCCCGTGTATTCCGTTCCGGGATTGATTGATCACCTCTAAAAGTTATGCCCCTAGGGCTAATCCCCTAGGGGCTTTTAATCCGAGCAAAAAAAGGAGTGATTTATGTTTGATTGGATTGTTGATGCTTTTTCGGACATTCCCGGACTTTGGGACAATACTTTTGGTGCGATTGGCGATTATTTCAGCGGTGCTACCGCAAGCCGAATCAACCAAAAAGCCGAAGATGCCGCAAAGTTGGCACAGCAGTATAATTTGGAGACGATGGCTAAACAGTTTTCGTATTCCAAGCAAGCGGCGAATTACAACTACGACCTTTCTATGCGGTACATACCCGAAAGTCTGACGGCATATAAAAATGCGCTTGTTCAGAATGGGTACAACCCGTTGCTTGCTTTATCGTCTTCCGCTCCGCACTTCCAAGGCAGTGCTACTGCCCCTAGTTCTTCTTCGCCGTCCGTTCAGAGCGGCGGTGCGGCTAGTGCTGGTAGTTTTGGTAGTGCCGTTGGTGCGATTTCTTCCGCAGTTGGCGGTTTAGGCAATTTGGTCAAGTTAGGTTCGGAATTGGGTCTAAATTCCGCTCTTTCATCCAAGGCACTTGCCGATACTCGCTTGTCTGAAAGTTCCGCCGCCCTTAACGCCGCAAAGACTGCCGAAATCAATCAGTCTTTGCCGTATCGGTTGCGCAATTTGCAGTATAGAGGTGAACTTGGCGAAACTGTGAATACTGTCCGAAATGCCTATGAGGAAGCCGCAACCCGCTGTTCGTGGTTTTGGTGGTCGTGTTGCTGATAGCGTAAATTCCGTTGGTGCTTCGTCCGCAAAGGCGTTGAAGCAAGTCAGCGATAAAGTGGAGAAAACTCTTGATGAAGGTAAGGGCTTCTTCCGAAATCTCGGCAGTAGGTACTTACGGAATATGGATTTAATGAGGATGCCCCTTCGTTAAGACTTGTGAACTTGTGAACTTGTGAACAAACATAGCCCCCCTTTCAAGAAGGGGGGCGTTTGTTCACAAGTTCACAAGTTTGCAAGTCCTCACATTTTATTATTTTGTTATTTTGTTTATTATCTTAATGATATAGTAAGTTATTACAATAATTGTTATCATTGGAATTATATTTGACATTTTTTATTTTCCCTATTGACTTGGTTATTTTTTTGTTGGTATCTTATCTCTCGTTGTGAGAGATAATTCTCTTTGTCGCATAAGACGCATTATATCATATGATAAAGGTATAGTCAATGAGGTGCTTGAAACCCACAATCGCTTGGATTTGCGGTACAACCTACTGCAAGGCTGACGGACTTTTAAGCCCTCGCATTGTTTTCAGCCCTAACGATGCTATTGCCTATTATTCCAAGATTTATCCCGATTGTGATTTGAGCGTTCTTTTGGAGCGTAATCAGATTGAGTTGCCTTGCGGTAAATGTGCCGCTTGTCAAATTCGCAAGCGAAAGGATATGAGCGTTCGGTTGTGTCACGAGCGTATGATGTGTGCACAAGCCGTTTTTGTCACGCTCACCTATAATGATGATAGCGTTCCTGTCACTGACGATAAGCCATTTTTTGTTGATAGTAATCGTCATAAGGATGATTCCAAGCGTTTTTCTCGTGGTATTTCCAATGGTCTTCATCCAACTCTTCTCTCTTCCGATTTACAGAAGTTCATTAAGCGTCTTCGTTGGCATTTAGGTTATCGTGGCACGAAGTCCGCCAAGGGTCGTTTTGATTATTGCCCCAATATCCGCTATTTTGCCGTTGGTGAGTACGGCACTCATACTCATAGACCCCATTACCACCTTATCATTTATGGTTGGTATCCTTCTGATTGTGTTCTTCATGGCAAAAGCCCCAAGGGCAGTCTTATTTTTAGGAGTAAACAGATTGAGCGGTGTTGGTCTTACGGCTATTCTTCGGTTTCTTCTGTTTCGCCCGCCGTTGCCAAATACTGCGCTCGTTATGTGACCAAGAAGTTTGCTCGTTTGGAGCAAAAGATTTCTTGTCACCTTGCGTTAGTTCCCGAATTTACACTGCAATCTGTTCGCCATGGCGGTATTGGTGCTACTTGGTTCCATCGTTTCGGCGTGGATGCCTGTAAGGTTGGTTTGACTTCCATCGTTGTTAATGGTCGTGTCAGCAAATGTTCTTTGCCGCAGTATTATTTGCGGTTGTTGCGTAAACATTATCCACAAGTTTACATTGATTTGCGCAATAGCCGTATTGATTTCGTCAAGCGTAATGTTGGTAATTTGGTCACTTTTGACGACCTCAAACGCTCGGTAGAGGTTGCCATGCTCACCGATAGGTATCAGTCCTATGGTGAGATTTTTTAGTCCGAGCAAAACACAAAAAGGAGTAGCCATGCCGACTAGGTATGTACCGAACCAATCCCGAAGTAAGCGGACATTCACCCGAACCGCTGAAAAGGTAAATTCCTTAAACAGTCCACATTTTATGAGCCGTGGGGGGTTTCGCCTGTGAGCAAGTTCTTTGATGATATTGCGAAAGCAACCGCCAAGCGAGAGCGTGAGAAATCTCTCACTTTCTCTATGTTTTCCTTTGCCACTGAAACAGATAACGGCAAGGTTTATTGGCGTTCCTTGCGCTTTTATTGACGATAATTCGGCACTTCTTGCGCTTGGAAATCTTATTACCGATGGTACATTTCCTGTCGGCACTTCCGTGTATCGCATTGGCTCATATTGTTTTGCCAGTGGTAAGTTTTATCCGATTAAACCCTATGAGGTGACTAAAAATGAATGATTTGTTCCGTACCCGATTTAATCGCAAGGTCGTTATCAGCCCTAGCGGTGGTAATTCGTTGACCGACCAACAGTTTGCCAAAACTAGCGAGGTCAACTACATTTTGCGCAATTATAACGCCCTAACCCCAAATCCCCGTACCCCGATTTTCGGCGATGTTAGTGATTTTGGTGATTTTGAGCGTAATTTTGCGAAAATTCAGAAAGCGCAAGCCGATTTTGAGAGTTTAGGCGAAGCGGTCGTTAGCCGTTTTGGTCGTAATCCTCTTGAATTTTACCGCTTCGTTCACAACCCCGCAAATAGGGAAGAGTGTATTCGTCTCGGTTTGTATAGAAAGCCTGTGTCACCCACTCCTGTGGGCGAATCCGTGGCTATGCCCGATTCGGTATCGCCCTTAAACTTGACTAAATAAGGCGATACTGACAGGGTTTTAAGGAGTTAAAAAAATGAAGAAAAGTATCATTCAGATTGTAGTTTATGCCATTTATGGCTTTGTCTGTTATTTTCTCGGCGGTTGCTTGGCAATCGGCGACAATTCCCGCAGTGCTTTCTTGCTTGATAGCACTGGTAAGTCTAATTCTGTAAGCGAAAGGTAATCAAAAATGAATAAGCAGTGGTATCAACGCAGAGTACTCGTTGACGGATGCACCCCGTAGCACCTTTGATAGGTCTCACGGCTACAAAACTTGCTTCAATTCGGGTAGTTGATTCGATTGAGGTACAGGAAGTTTTGCCAGGAGACGAAGTGAAAATGGATGCCAACATTTTCGCCCGATTGTCGCAAACTGTCACCCCAGTGATGGACAATGTGTTTTTGGACATTCATTGGTTCTATGTTCCTTCTCGTCTCCTCTGACTAATTTGTTAGGATGATGGGTGAGCGCCCGAATCCGAAGGACAGTATTGATTATACTGTGCCTGTTATCAATAGTGGTGAGTTTGGATTTGACATTGGCTCGTTGGCTGATTATTTCGGTATTCCGACGGGCGTTGCAAATCTTGATGTCAATGTTTTGCCGTTTCGCGCATATGCCAAGATTTGGGATGATTGGTATCGTGACACGAATTTGCAGGACAGCATCATCAATGTGGAACAGGATTTGGGCGATTCCAATCTAACTCCATTGATTGGAATAAATTGCTCCCTCGTGGGCAAGAAGAAAGACTATTTTACCTCTGCTTACCTTCTCCTCAACGGGGAGATGCCGTCACTGTGCCGCTCGGTTCTACCGCTCCTGTTTACGGCATTAATGGTGTTCCGTTGCAGTTGGTTAGTTATGACACTACTGATCCTTCTTATTCCGATAAGGTTTTTCTGTCAAAGCCACCGGTGGCGGCGAATCGTCCACGCTTTCCGCCACCAACAATCCCGAATATGGCGGCACTGGCGACGCCCTTGAATGGTCAATATTTGCGCATTGCGTCAAGGGTGAGTTGGTTTCTTAATCCCGCCCAGTTGGAAGCCGATTTGTCCGCGGCGGCTAATGTCAGCGTGAATTCGTTGCGTACTGCGTTCCAGTTTGCAACGGCTTCTTGAGACTGACGCTCGTGCGGGCAATAGGTTCGGTGACATTATCCTTGCCCATTTTAGGACTGTTAATCCCGATTCTAGGTTGCAACGCAGTGAGTACCTTGGTGGCGAATCCAAAATTATCGGTATGGTCGGTAGTTAGTCAGACCTCGGCAACTGGTGATTCAACTACTCCCCAAGGCAATATGGTTGCCAATGGCACTGTTTTTCAACGCAGTGGTTTCCATAAGTCGTTCACCGAACACGGCTTCGTCATTGCTCTTGCGAGTGTTAGGTGCGACATTACCTATCAGCAAGGTCTTAATAGGATGTGGTCACGCCGTGGTCGGTATGACTATTACTGGCCGTCTTTGGCTCATTTAGGTGAACAGCTGTTCTTAACAAGGAGATTTATGCACAGGGTAAGAGCGTGACGGATGTCAATGATGGCAGTGTTGTTGACGATAAGGTTTTTGGTTATCAAGAGCGATACGCCGAATATCGGTACAATCCGTCTGTCATCACTGGCAAGATGCGTTTCGTCAGCGGCTGATAGTTTGGATGTTTGGCATTTGTCGCAGTATTTCAGCGAACTTCCTACTTTTGTCCGCTGAATTTATTGAGGATTAATCCGCCGTTGGCTCGGATTATGGCAGTACCTCTGAACCCGAAATCATTTTTGGATGCCTATTTGGCTCAAAATGGACTAGGGCAATGCCCGTGTATTCCGTTCCGGGATTGATTGATCACCTCTAAAAGTTATGCCCCTAGGGCTTTAATCCCCTAAGGGGCTTTTAATCCGAGCAAAAAAAGGAGTGATTTATGTTTGATTGGATTGTTGTTGCTTTTTCGGACATTCCCGGACTTTGGGACAATACTTTTGGTGCGATTGGCGATTATTTCAGCGGTGCTACCGCAAGCCGAATCAACCAAAAATACGCCGAAGATGCCGCAAAGTTGGCACAGCAGTATAATTTGGAGACGATGGCTAAACAGTTTTCGTATTCCAAGCAAGCGGCGAATTACAACTACGACCTTTCTATGCGGTACATACCCGAAAGTCTGACGGCATATAAAAATGCGCTTGTTCAGAATGGGTACAACCCGTTGCTTGCTTTATCGTCTTCCGCTCCGCACTTCCAAGGCAGTGCTACTGCCCCTAGTTCTTCTTCGCCGTCCGTTCAGAGCGGCGGTGCGGCTAGTGCTGGTAGTTTTGGTAGTGCCGTTGGTGCGATTTCTTCCGCAGTTGGCGGTTTAGGCAATTTGGTCAAGTTAGGTTCGGAATTGGGTCTAAATTCCGCTCTTTCATCCAAGGCACTTGCCGATACTCGCTTGTCTGAAAGTTCCGCCGCCCTAACGCCGCAAAGACTGCCGAAATCAATCAGTCTTTGCCGTATCGGTTGCGCAATTTGCAGTATAGAGGTGAACTTGGCGAAACTGTGAATACTGTCCGAAATGCCTATGAGGAAGCCGCAACCGCTGGTTCGTGGTTTTGGTGGTCGTGTTGCTGATAGCGTAAATTCCGTTGGTGCTTCGTCCCGCAAAGGCGTTGAAGCAAGTCAGCGATAAAGTGGAGAAAACTCTTGATGAAGGTAAGGGCTTCTTCCGAAATCTCGGCAGTAGGTACTTACGGAATATGGATTTAATGAGGATGCCCCTTCGTTAAGACTTGTGAACTTGTGAACTTGTGAACAAACATAGCCCCCCTTTCAAGAAGGGGGGCGTTTGTTCACAAGTTCACAAGTTTGCAAGTCCTCACATTTTATTATTTTGTTATTTTGTTTATTATCTTAATGATATAGTAAGTTATTACAATAATTGTTATCATTGGAATTATTTTTGACATTTTTTATTTTCCCTATTGACTTGGTTATTTTTTTTTTGGTATCTTATCTCTCGTTGTGAGAGATAATTCTCTTTGTCGCATAAGACGCATTATATCATATGATAAAGTATAGTCAATGAGGTGCTTGAAACCCACAATCGCTTGGATTTTGCGGTACAACCTACTGCAAGGCTGACGGACTTTTAAGCCCTCGCATTGTTTTCAGCCCTAACGATGCTATTGCCTATTATTCCAAGATTTATCCCGATTGTGATTTGAGCGTTCTTTTGGAGCGTAATCAGATTGAGTTGCCTTGCGGTAAATGTGCCGCTTGTCAAATTCGCAAGCGAAAGGATATGAGCGTTCGGTTGTGTCACGAGCGTATGATGTGTGCACAAGCCGTTTTTGTCACGCTCACCTATAATGATGATAGCGTTCCTGTCACTGACGATAAGCCATTTTTTGTGATAGTAATCGTCATAAGGATGATTCCAAGCGTTTTTCTCGTGGTATTTCCAATGGTCTTCATCCAACTCTTCTCTCTTCCGATTTACAGAAGTTCATTAAGCGTCTTCGTTGGCATTTAGGTTATCGTGGCACGAAGTCCGCCAAGGGTCGTTTTGATTATTGCCCCAATATCCGCTATTTTGCCGTTGGTGAGTACGGCACTCATACTCATAGACCCCGATTACCACCTTATCATTTATGGTTGGTATCCTTCTGATTGTGTTCTTCATGGCAAAAGCCCCAAGGGCAGTCTTATTTTTAGGGAGTAAACAGATTGAGCGGTGTTGGTCTTACGGCTATTCTTCGGTTTCTTCTGTTTCGCCCGCCGTTGCCAAATACTGCGCTCGTTATGTGACCAAGAAGTTTGCTCGTTTGGAGCAAAAGATTTCCTTGTCACCTTGCGTTAGTTCCCGAATTTACAATTGCAATCTGTTCGCCATGGCGGTATTGGTGCTACTTGGTTCCATCGTTTCGGCGTGGATGCCTGTAAGGTTGGTTTGACTTCCATCGTTGTTAATGGTCGTGTCAGCAAATGTTCTTTGCCGCAGTATTATTTGCGGTTGTTGCGTAAACATTATCCACAAGTTTACATTGATTTGCGCAATAGCCGTATTGATTTCGTCAAGCGTAATGTTGGTAATTTGGTCACTTTTGACGACCTCAAACGCTCGGTAGAGGTTGCCATGCTCACCGATAGGTATCAGTCCCTATGGTGAGATTTTTTTAGTCCGAGCAAAACACAAAAAGGAGTAGCCATGCCGACTAGGTATGTACCGAACCAATCCCGAAGTAAGCGGACATTCACCCGAACCGCTGAAAAGGTAAATTCCTTAAACAGTCCACATTTTATGAGCCGTGGGGGGTTTCGCCTGTGAGCAAGTTCTTTGATGATATTGCGAAAGCAACCGCCAAGCGAGAGCGTGAGAAATCTCTCACTTTCATCTAGTTTTCCTTTGCCACTGAAACAGATAACGGCAAGGTTTTTGGCGTTCCTTGCGCATTTATTGACGATAATTCGGCACTTCTTGCGCTTGGAAATCTTATTACCGATGGTACATTTCCTGTCGGCACTTCCGTGTATCGCATTGGCTCATATTGTTTTGCCAGTGGTAAGTTTTATCCGATTAAACCCTAATGAGGTGACTAAAAATGAATGATTTGTTCCGTACCCGATTTAATCGCAAGGTCGTTATCAGCCCTAGCGGTGGTAATTCGTTGACCGACCAACAGTTTGCCAAAACTAGCGAGGGTCAACTACATTTTGCGCAATTATAACGCCCTAACCCCAAATCCCCGTACCCCGATTTTCGGCGATGTTAGTGATTTTGGTGATTTTGAGCGTAATTTTGCGAAAATTCAGAAAGCGCAAGCCGATTTTGAGAGTTTAGGCGAAGCGGTCGTTAGCCGTTTTGGTCGTAATCCTCTTGAATTTTACCGCTTCGTTCACAACCCCGCAAATAGGGAAGAGTGTATTCGTCCTCGGTTTGTATAGAAAGCCTGTGTCACCCACTCCTGTGGGCGAATCCGTGGCTATGCCCGATTCGGTATTCGCCCTTAAACTTGACTAAATAAGGCGATACTGACAGGGTTTTTAAGGAGTTAAAAAAATGAAGAAAAGTATCATTCAGATTGTAGTTTATGCCATTTATGGCTTTGTCTGTTATTTTCTCGGCGGTTGCTTGGCAATCGGCGACAATTCCCGCAGTGCTTAAGCAGTGGTATCAACGCAGAGTACTCTGGTAAGTCTAATTCTGTAAGCGAAAGGTAATCAAAAATGAATAGCGTAATGAATCACGATTTCGGGCGTGTTCCGTTGACGGATGCACCCCGTAGCACCTTTGATAGGTCTCACGGCTACAAAACTTGCTTCAATTCGGGTAAGTTGATTCCGATTGAGGTACAGGAAGTTTTGCCAGGAGACGAAGTGAAAATGGATGCCAACATTTTCGCCCGATTGTCGCAAACTGTCACCCCAGTGATGGACAATGTGTTTTTGGACATTCATTGGTTCTATGTTCCTTCTCGTCTCCTCTGGACTAATTTTGTTAGGATGATGGGTGAGCGCCCGAATCCGAAAGACAGTATTGATTATACTGTGCCTGTTATCAATAGTGGTGAGTTTGGATTTGACATTGGCTCGTTGGCTGATTATTTCGGTATTCCGACGGGCGTTGCAAATCTTGATGTCAATGTTTTGCCGTTTCGCGCATATGCCAAGATTTGGGATGATTGGTATCGTGACACGAATTTGCAGGACAGCATCATCAATGTGGAACAGGATTTGGGCGATTCCAATCCTAACTCCATTGATTGGAATAAATTGCTCCCTCGTGGCAAGAAGAAAGACTATTTTACCTCTTGCTTACCTTCTCCTCAACGGGGAGATGCCGTCACTGTGCCGCTCGGTTCTACCGCTCCTGTTTACGGCATTAATGGTGTTCCGTTGCAGTTGGTTAGTTATGACACTACTGATCCTTCTTATTCCGATAAGGTTTTTCCTGTCAAAGCCACCGGTGGCGGCGAATCGTCCACGCTTTCCGCCACCAACAATCCCGAATATGGCGGCACTGGCGACGCCTTGAATGGTCAATATTTGCGCATTGCGTCAAAGGGTGAGTTGGTTTCTTATCCCGCCCAGTTGGAAGCCGATTTGTCCGCGGCGGCTAATGTCAGCGTGAATTCGTTGCGTACTGCGTTCCAGTTGCAACGGCTTCTTGAGACTGACGCTCGTGCGGGCAATAGGTTCGGTGACATTATCCTTGCCCATTTTAGGACTGTTAATCCCGATTCTAGGTTGCAACGCAGTGAGTACCTTGGTGGCGAATCCAAAATTATCGGTATGTCGGTAGTTAGTCAGACCTCGGCAACTGGTGATTCAACTACTCCCCAAGGCAATATGGTTGCCAATGGCACTGTTTTTCAACGCAGTGGTTTCCATAAGTCGTTCACCGAACACGGCTTCGTCATTGCTCTTGCGAGTGTTAGGTGCGACATTACCTATCAGCAAGGTCTTAATAGGATGTGGTCACGCCGTGGTCGGTATGACTATTACTGGCCGTCTTTGGCTCATTTAGGTGAACAGCCTGTTCTTAACAAGGAGATTTATGCACAGGGTAAGAGCGTGACGGATGTCAATGATGGCAGTGTTGTTGACGATAAGGTTTTTGGTTATCAAGAGCGATACGCCGAATATCGGTACAATCCGTCTGTCATCACTGGCAAGATGCGTTCGTCAGCGGCTGATAGTTTGGATGTTTGGCATTTGTCGCAGTATTTCAGCGAACTTCCTACTTTGTCCGCTGAATTTATTGAGGATAATCCGCCGTTGGCTCGGATTATGGCAGTACCTTCTGAACCCGAAATCATTTTGGATGCCTATTTGGCTCAAAAATGGACTAGGGCAATGCCCGTGTATTCCGTTCCGGGATTGATTGATCACCTCTAAAAGTTATGCCCCTAGGGCTAATCCCCTAGGGGCTTTTAATCCGAGCAAAAAAAGGAGTGATTTATGTTTGATTGGATTGTTGATGCTTTTTCGGACATTCCCGGACTTTGGGACAATACTTTTGGTGCGATTGGCGATTATTTCAGCGGTGCTACCGCAAGCCGAATCAACCAAAAATACGCCGAAGATGCCGCAAAGTTGGCACAGCAGTATAATTTGGAGACGATGGCTAAACAGTTTTCGTATTCCAAGCAAGCGGCGAATTACAACTACGACCTTTCTATGCGGTACATACCCGAAAGTCTGACGGCATATAAAAATGCGCTTGTTCAGAATGGGTACAACCCGTTGCTTGCTTTATCGTCTTCCGCTCCGCACTTCCAAGGCAGTGCTACTGCCCCTAGTTCTTCTTCGCCGTCCGTTCAGAGCGGCGGTGCGGCTAGTGCTGGTAGTTTTGGTAGTGCCGTTGGTGCGATTTCTTCCGCAGTTGGCGGTTTAGGCAATTTGGTCAAGTTAGGTTCGGAATTGGGTCTAAATTCCGCTCTTTCATCCAAGGCACTTGCCGATACTCGCTTGTCTGAAAGTTCCGCCGCCCTTAACGCCGCAAAGACTGCCGAAATCAATCAGTCTTTGCCGTATCGGTTGCGCAATTTGCAGTATAGAGGTGAACTTGGCGAAACTGTGAATACTGTCCGAAATGCCTATGAGGAAGCCGCAACCGCTGTTCGTGGTTTTGGTGGTCGTGTTGCTGATAGCGTAAATTCCGTTGGTGCTTCGTCCGCAAAGGCGTTGAAGCAAGTCAGCGATAAAGTGGAGAAAACTCTTGATGAAGGTAAGGGCTTCTTCCGAAATCTCGGCAGTAGGTACTTACGGAATATGGATTTAATGAGGATGCCCCTTCGTTAAGACTTGTGAACTTGTGAACTTGTGAACAAACATAGCCCCCCTTTCAAGAAGGGGGGCGTTTGTTCACAAGTTCACAAGTTTGCAAGTCCTCACATTTTATTATTTTGTTATTTTGTTTATTATCTTAATGATATAGTAAGTTATTACAATAATTGTTATCATTGGAATTATTTTTGACATTTTTTATTTTCCCTATTGACTTGGTTATTTTTTTTTGGTATCTTATCTCTCGTTGTGAGAGATAATTCTCTTTGTCGCATAAGACGCATTATATCATATGATAAAGGTATAGTCAATGAGGTGCTTGAAACCCACAATCGCTTGGATTTGCGGTACAACCTACTGCAAGGCTGACGGACTTTTAAGCCCTCGCATTGTTTTCAGCCCTAACGATGCTATTGCCTATTATTCCAAGATTTATCCCGATTGTGATTTGAGCGTTCTTTTGGAGCGTAATCAGATTGAGTTGCCTTGCGGTAAATGTGCCGCTTGTCAAATTCGCAAGCGAAAGGATATGAGCGTTCGGTTGTGTCACGAGCGTATGATGTGTGCACAAGCCGTTTTTGTCACGCTCACCTATAATGATGATAGCGTTCCTGTCACTGACGATAAGCCATTTTTTGTTGATAGTAATCGTCATAAGGATGATTCCAAGCGTTTTTCTCGTGGTATTTCCAATGGTCTTCATCCAACTCTTCTCTCTTCCGATTTACAGAAGTTCATTAAGCGTCTTCGTTGGCATTTAGGTTATCGTGGCACGAAGTCCGCCAAGGGTCGTTTTGATTATTGCCCCAATATCCGCTATTTTGCCGTTGGTGAGTACGGCACTCATACTCATAGACCCCATTACCACCTTATCATTTATGGTTGGTATCCTTCTGATTGTGTTCTTCATGGCAAAAGCCCCAAGGGCAGTCTTATTTTTAGGAGTAAACAGATTGAGCGGTGTTGGTCTTACGGCTATTCTTCGGTTTCTTCTGTTTCGCCCGCCGTTGCCAAATACATGCGCTCGTTATGTGACCAAGAAGTTTGCTCGTTTGGAGCAAAAGATTTCTTGTCACCTTGCGTTAGTTCCCGAATTTACACTGCAATCTGTTCGCCATGGCGGTATTGGTGCTACTTGGTTCCATCGTTTCGGCGTGGATGCCTGTAAGGTTGGTTTGACTTCCATCGTTGTTAATGGTCGTGTCAGCAAATGTTCTTTGCCGCAGTATTATTTGCGGTTGTTGCGTAAACATTATCCACAAGTTTACATTGATTTGCGCAATAGCCGTATTGATTTCGTCAAGCGTAATGTTGGTAATTTGGTCACTTTTGACGACCTCAAACGCTCGGTAGAGGTTGCCATGCTCACCGATAGGTATCAGTCCTATGGTGAGATTTTTTAGTCCGAGCAAAACACAAAAAGGAGTAGCCATGCCGACTAGGTATGTACCGAACCAATCCCGAAGTAAGCGGACATTCACCCGAACCGCTGAAAAGGTAAATTCCTTAAACAGTCCACATTTTATGAGCCGTGGGGGGTTTCGCCTGTGAGCAAGTTCTTTGATGATATTGCGAAAGCAACCGCCAAGCGAGAGCGTGAGAAATCTCTCACTTTCTCTATGTTTTCCTTTGCCACTGAAACAGATAACGGCAAGGTTTTTGGCGTTCCTTGCGCTTTTATTGACGATAATTCGGCACTTCTTGCGCTTGGAAATCTTATTACCGATGGTACATTTCCTGTCGGCACTTCCGTGTATCGCATTGGCTCATATTGTTTTGCCAGTGGTAAGTTTTATCCGATTAAACCCCTATGAGGTGACTAAAAATGAATGATTTGTTCCGTACCCGATTTAATCGCAAGGTCGTTATCAGCCCTAGCGGTGGTAATTCGTTGACCGACCAACAGTTTGCCAAAACTAGCGAGGTCAACTACATTTTGCGCAATTATAACGCCCTAACCCCAAATCCCCGTACCCCGATTTTCGGCGATGTTAGTGATTTTGGTGATTTTGAGCGTAATTTTGCGAAAATTCAGAAAGCGCAAGCCGATTTTGAGAGTTTAGGCGAAGCGGTCGTTAGCCGTTTTGGTCGTAATCCTCTTGAATTTTACCGCTTCGTTCACAACCCCGCAAATAGGGAAGAGTGTATTCGTCTCGGTTTGTATAGAAAGCCTGTGTCACCCACTCCTGTGGGCGAATCCGTGGCTATGCCCGATTCGGTATCGCCCTTAAACTTGACTAAATAAGGCGATACTGACAGGGTTTTAAGGAGTTAAAAAAATGAAGAAAAGTATCATTCAGATTGTAGTTTATGCCATTTATGGCTTTGTCTGTTATTTTCTCGGCGGTTGCTTGGCAATCGGCGACAATTCCCGCAGTGCTTTCTTGCTTGATAGCACTGGTAAGTCTAATTCTGTAAGCGAAAGGTAATCAAAAATGAATAGCGTAATGAATCACGATTTCGGGCGTGTTCCGTTGACGGATGCACCCCGTAGCACCTTTGATAGGTCTCACGGCTACAAAACTTGCTTCAATTCGGGTAAGTTGATTCCGATTGAGGTACAGGAAGTTTTGCCAGGAGACGAAGTGAAAATGGATGCCAACATTTTCGCCCGATTGTCGCAAACTGTCACCCCAGTGATGGACAATGTGTTTTTGGACATTCATTGGTTCTATGTTCCTTCTCGTCTCCTCTGGACTAATTTTGTTAGGATGATGGGTGAGCGCCCGAATCCGAAAGGACAGTATTGATTATACTGTGCCTGTTATCAATAGTGGTGAGTATGGATTTGACATTGGCTCGTTGGCTGATTATTTCGGTATTCCGACGGGCGTTGCAAATCTTGATGTCAATGTTTTGCCGTTTCGCGCATATGCCAAGATTTGGGATGATTGGTATCGTGACACGAATTTGCAGGACAGCATCATCAATGTGGAACAGGATTTGGGCGATTCCAATCCTAACTCCATTGATTGGAATAAATTGCTCCCTCGTGGCAAGAAGAAAGACTATTTTACCTCTTGCTTACCTTCTCCTCAACGGGGAGATGCCGTCACTGTGCCGCTCGGTTCTACCGCTCCTGTTTACGGCATTAATGGTGTTCCGTTGCAGTTGGTTAGTTATGACACTACTGATCCTTCTTATTCCGATAAGGTTTTTCCTGTCAAAGCCACCGGTGGCGGCGAATCGTCCACGCTTTCCGCCACCAACAATCCCGAATATGGCGGCACTGGCGACGCCTTGAATGGTCAATATTTGCGCATTGCGTCAAAGGGTGAGTTGGTTTCTTATCCCGCCCAGTTGGAAGCCGATTTGTCCGCGGCGGCTAATGTCAGCGTGAATTCGTTGCGTACTGCGTTCCAGTTGCAACGGCTTCTTGAGACTGACGCTCGTGCGGGCAATAGGTTCGGTGACATTATCCTTGCCCATTTTAGGACTGTTAATCCCGATTCTAGGTTGCAACGCAGTGAGTACCTTGGTGGCGAATCCAAAATTATCGGTATGTCGGTAGTTAGTCAGACCTCGGCAACTGGTGATTCAACTACTCCCCAAGGCAATATGGTTGCCAATGGCACTGTTTTTCAACGCAGTGGTTTTCCATAAGTCGTTCACCCGAACACGGCTTCGTCATTGCTCTTGCGAGTGTTAGGTGCGACATTACCTATCAGCAAGGTCTTAATAGGATGTGGTCACGCCGTGGTCGGTATGACTATTACTGGCCGTCTTTGGCTCATTTAGGTGAACAGCCTGTTCTTAACAAGGAGATTTATGCACAGGGTAAGAGCGTGACGGATGTCAATGATTGGCAGTGTTGTTGACGATAAGGTTTTTGGTTATCAAGAGCGATACGCCGAATATCGGTACAACTCCGTCTGTCATCACTGGCAAGATGCGTTCGTCAGCGGCTGATAGTTTGGATGTTTGGCATTTGTCGCAGTATTTCAGCGAACTTCCTACTTTGTCCGCTGAATTTATTGAGGATAATCCGCCGTTGGCTCGGATTATGGCAGTACCTTCTGAACCCGAAATCATTTTGGATGCCTATTTGGCTCAAAAATGGACTAGGGCAATGCCCGTGTATTCCGTTCCGGGATTGATTGATCACCTCTAAAAGTTATGCCCCTAGGGCTAATCCCCTAGGGGCTTTTAATCCGAGCCAAAAAAAGGAGTGATTTATGTTTGATTGGATTGTTGATGCTTTTTCGGACATTCCCGGACTTGGGACAATACTTTTGGTGCGATTGGCGATTATTTCAGCGGTGCTACCGCAAGCCGAATCAACCAAAAATACGCCGAAGATGCCGCAAAGTTGGCACAGCAGTATAATTTGGAGACGATGGCTAAACAGTTTTCGTATTCCAAGCAAGCGGCGAATTACAACTACGACCTTTCTATGCGGTACATACCCGAAAGTCTGACGGCATATAAAAATTGCGCCTTGTTCAGAATGGGTACAACCCGTTGCTTGCTTTATCGTCTTCCGCTCCGCACTTCCAAGGCAGTGCTACTGCCCCTAGTTTCTTCTTCGCCGTCCGTCAGAGCGGCGGTGCGGCTAGTGCTGGTAGTTTTGGTAGTGCCGTTGGTGCGATTTCTTCCGCAGTTGGCGGTTTAGGCAATTTGGTCAAGTTAGGTTCGGAATTGGGTCTAAATTCCGCTCTTTCATCCAAGGCACTTGCCGATACTCGCTTGTCTGAAAGTTCCGCCGCCCTTAACGCCGCAAAGACTGCCGAAATCAATCAGTCTTTGCCGTATCGGTTGCGCAATTTGCAGTATAGAGGTGAACTTGGCGAAACTGTGAATACTGTCCGAAATGCCTATGAGGAAGCCGCAACCGCTGTTCGTGGTTTTGGTGGTCGTGTTGCTGATAGCGTAAATTCCGTTGGTGCTTCGTCCGCAAAGGCGTTGAAGCAAGTCAGCGATAAAGTGAGAAAAACTCTTGATGAAGGTAAGGGCTTCTTCCGAAATCTCGGCAGTAGGTACTTACGGAATATGGATTTAATGAGGATGCCCCTTCGTTAAGACTTGTGAACTTGTGAACTTGTGAACAAACATAGCCCCCCCTTTCAAGAAGGGGGGCGTTTGTTCACAAGTTCACAAGTTTGCAAGTCCTCACATTTTATTATTTTGTTATTTTGTTATTATCTTAATGATATAGTAAGTTATTACAATAATTGTTATCATTGGAATTATTTTTGACATTTTTTATTTCCCTATTGACCTTGGTTATTTTTTTTTGGTATCTTATCTCTCGTTGTGAGAGATAATTCTCTTTGTCGCATAGACGCATTATATCATATGATAAAGGTATAGTCATGAGGTGCTTGAAACCCACAATCGCTTGGATTTGCGGTACAACTCTACTGCAAGGCTGACGGACTTTTAAGCCCTCGCATTGTTTTCAGCCCTAACGATGCTATTGCCTATTATTCCAAGATTTATCCCGATTGTGATTTGAGCGTTCTTTTGGAGCGTAATCAGATTGAGTTGCCTTGCGGTAAATGTGCCGCTGTCAAATTCGCAAGCGAAAGGATATGAGCGTTCGGTTGTGTCACGAGCGTATGATGTGTGCACAAGCCGTTTTTGTCACGCTCACCTATAATGATGATAGCGTTCCTGTCACTGACGATAAGCCATTTTTTGTTGATAGTAATCGTCATAAGGATGATTCCAAGCGTTTTTCTCGTGGTATTTCCAATGGTCTTCATCCAACTCTTCTCTCTTCCGATTTACAGAAGTTCATTAAGCGTCTTCGTTGGCATTTAGGTTATCGTGGCACGAAGTCCGCCAAGGGTCGTTTTGATTATTGCCCCAATATCCGCTATTTTGCCGTTGGTGAGTACGGCACTCATACTCATAGACCCCATTACCACCTTATCATTTATGGTTGGTATCCTTCTGATTGTGTTCTTCATGGCAAAAGCCCCAAGGGCAGTCTTATTTTTAGGAGTAAACAGATTGAGCGGTGTTGGTCTTACGGCTATTCTTCGGTTTCTTCTGTTTCGCCCGCCGTTGCCAAATACTGCGCTCGTTATGTGACCAAGAAGTTTGCTCGTTTGGAGCAAAAGATTTCTTGTCACCTTGCGTTAGTTCCCGAATTTACACTGCAATCTGTTCGCCATGGCGGTATTGGTGCTACTTGGTTCCATCGTTTCGGCGTGGATGCCTGTAAGGTTGGTTTGACTTCCATCGTTGTTAATGGTCGTGTCAGCAAATGTTCTTTGCCGCAGTATTATTTGCGGTTGTTGCGTAAACATTATCCACAAGTTTACATTGATTTGCGCAATAGCCGTATTGATTTCGTCAAGCGTAATGTTGGTAATTTGGTCACTTTTGACGACCTCAAAACGCTCGGTAGAGGTTGCCATGCTCACCGATAGGTATCAGTCCTATGGTGAGATTTTTTAGTCCGAGCAAAACACAAAAAGGAGTAGCCATGCCGACTAGGTATGTACCGAACCAATCCCGAAGTAAGCGGACATTCACCCGAACCGCTGAAAAGGTAAATTCCTTAAACAGTCCACATTTTATGAGCCGTGGGGGGTTTCGCCTGTGAGCAAGTTCTTTGATGATATTGCGAAAGCAACCGCCAAGCGAGAGCGTGAGGAAATCTCTCACTTTCTCTATGTTTTCCTTTGCCACCTGAAACAGATAACGGCAAGGTTTTTGGCGTTCCTTGCGCTTTTATTGACGATAATTCGGCACTTCTTGCGCTTGGAAATCTTATTACCGATGGTACATTTCCTGTCGGCACTTCCGTGTATCGCATTGGCTCATATTGTTTTGCCAGTGGTAAGTTTTATCCAGTACTCTGCGTTGATACCACTGCTT